GGGGGGGGGTGCCCCGCTGGTGGGAGATACCTGGTTTGGGAAAATCCCGCTAGCCGACGGTAGGTCGGCGCCAGATCTCGCCAGGGAATGAACAGCGAGGGAAATATCACCTCCATCTCCCGAGCAAAAACATGCAGTACACTTACGAGACGAATGACCCTGTTCGTTGACGTGCCCGGAATCACTAAAATAATCAATCTGATAAACCACACAAAACTACCGACTGAACAGGCATCCGCCAGAGTTGTCTCCAGATTGCCCTGGCTGATTAGGTAGTGTGGAAAATCCGCCACTAAAGGGATTCGAACTCTGCAACCTTCTGCTCAACGATTCTGCAGGGGCATGGAGATGGGCATGTTGTCACTCAGCCATTAGATTTGGAACTGAGTTGAAACGGTTAATGGACAGAATCACATGCTCATATTTCCAAAGGAAAGACATCAAATTGTCTACGCAGAATGAAATCTGGCATCTCTCTTCAATTCTCTCCCAGAACATAAAGGACGTAGTACCCAGAAGGGGTCCCGCCACCGCGGCCTTTACACTCATTTATAAATGTGTGGTGACTCCTCGAGAGACATACCATCGTCGAACCTCCTTTCAGGAACAAAATGGCAGTAGGGAGGCGATATCGATATCAATTTTTTCAAGACATCGATGTATTAACGCCGTTGTTTTTTACATCGACGTTTTGTGCTTGATTTTTGATGTACTGAGAGAACACAAAATTCTCTAAATTTTAATTAAAAACTAATATATACGGCTACTTTCAAATTAAATTTTGTTCCGCACAAATTTAATATAAGAGATTACTAAACCAGCTTTAAGACATTGATGTTTAAAAACATCGATTGTTTGTGATTGATTGGCCGATGATTCTGCGCGCGTTAACTGCTAAGGCCGTTAGTTCTGTAAGTGTAGTGCAGGTTTTATCGTGGGAGGGCGTCGATCATTCCCTCCCCCTGGCTAGCGAGATCCGGCGCGGACCTGCGTCGGCTAGCTTGCATTTCTCCCAACCATGTATCTCCCACCAACGGGGCACTGCAGAGAAACGCTTCAAACTTCCGACAAATGTGGTAGTGTAATACAAGTAAGTGCAAGTGTGTGTAAGTGGAATGAGGAGGGGACAAGAAAGAGGAAAGATTGTGCACCGTCCGTGGCCCGTTTGTTAGAGTATTGCTCCGGCATTTGCCTTGTGTTGATCGGAATCTCTAGAATTTTCTGTCAGCAGCTGAATTTAACCTAGCAAAAGCTAGTGTCAAAAAATCATTTGTTTTGGTCGATATATTATTAGCATGTGGGTGATCTGGGCTGTCCGGGTGACGCCGCGTCGAAGGCTGAGTTGCCGACGTTTCGACCATCCTGTCGTGGTCTTCCTCAGGGCTGGTATGCCATACCAGCCTTACCAGCCCTGAGGAATACCACGACAAAATGCCATACCAGCCATACCAATTCTCACACTTCACAACCTTCCATAACCTTTCGAATTGGTCAGATGAGTGAAAACGCGCGTGTACTAAACAGTGTTTAATAATGTGATGACATGAAACGTAGACTTCACCGAATGATTATATCTACGAAACAAGTATGTACCTATGGCAATTTCCTTTGTTCATTGTCTCATTTACTCAACAAAACTAAATCGTATTTAGTGAATCTTAGGGATAAATAAATTACAGGAATAATTGTATTTACTATACGACTGTCTACTAAACATGTTTAGTACGTTTTACTACAACATTTCTATCAGTGGGCTTCATCAATATCTACCGAAATCATAGACATTTCTCACATGGTCGCAGCCTGCATAGCTTCCCGTCCATTTACGCGTATATTTGCAACCAGTAACACAGATATTGGGGCATCAGTAATATGTATAGATGGGCTGATAGGCCCTGCTCGCCGACCTACGGCTGGGCTCGGCGCCGCGCCGCGACATCGAGACGGGCGGAGACACGGGCGCCGCGCGGCGGCGGCAGGCGTAACCGCCGCAACACGCCACTTGACTAATGAAGATGAGCGGGCGATGAGCAGGCCCTCCCCTCCTCCTCCCACTCCTCCCTCCCTCTCTCGCCGCGCCCCGCCGCACCTGGTCCGCTGACAGACGAGCGTCGATTGATTGCGTGCTCCCCCCCACCCCGCCGCCGCCGCCCGTGGCGGCAGCCTCGAATTAATCGCTCGTTGCGGACGCCGCCGCCGCTCGCCGCCACCCGCCGCGCTGCGATCGCCCCGCCCACGTGCCGCTCGCCGCTACCAGCCCCTAACCGTCACGGTCGCGAGGGCCGCGTCACTGCCATTGTGGCGCAGAGTGGTGGAAATGGAAAATGCTTTATTCTTTGGTTTAATACATGCGGCATCCCCGTGTCAATGGGTACGCATACGAGAGAATTATTTTATTTTGGGCTTTTATACAGAAATACAAATTTTTGGTCCGTATCGCCACCACCACGAAACTGCCATTGTGAGGAAGAATGATTGAGAGAGGAAATTGCTTTATTCTTTGCGTTATTACGATATGTAACTTGCCCATCTCAATGGACAGAGATATCTCAATGTCGTATAATCAAATAATCGTCAAATAATACGACAGAATTATTTTCACATTAACAGAATTATTATTTCACGATTGTTTTATTACAAGCATTTGTTCAGAAATAATAAATTTGTTGTCCAAGCCGTCAAGATCGTAACTATATATCGAGATGAGTGATTGCAAGTGGAAAACCCTATTTTTCGCGTTTACACAATATGTGATATGAATCGAGTATTATATACTACAGTATACATTATTATTATTATTATTATTATTATTATTATTATTATTATTATTATTATTATTATTATTATTGTTATTATTATTATTATTATTATTTACGAACATTAACACAGAAATAATGATCCTCCCACTGCGTCACATCAACAACAATGACGTATTGACAAAATAAACAGAGACAAGAATTTATGAGTTCCTTATGCGTTCCCTTGATAAGACGAAATTTTTTTAATAAGATAAAAACTTCTGAATTTGTAATAAACGATCTTAATCGCACTCTCAATATTTTTGCAAAGCTGTAAGTTAAGGAAAATTACCCCAAAGTTCGGATTGGAGAAAATAAATAGTTGAATAATGAAAGAATCTTAAATATTGGAAGTTAGGAAACTACATGTAGAGACAGAAACAGAAAGAGTGCCAAAGATATCTTGAATGAAAACTGAAATTTCTACGACGAAGCAAAGATAAAAAACCTGGAGGAGAAAGAAGTCAGAAATGCCGAGAAAAGGAAGTTTCTAAAAAGAATAGGCTCTAAATCTCTATGGAGGAAGATATGAAAAAGAAGAATTGGAGGAAGTAGTAGAAGAAAAAGAGGAAGAGATGAAGAGAAGAAGTTCAAGTTGCGAAAAAAGGGATTCTGAGAGAAAATGCTTTTAGATTGTCATTTTGTGAGTTTGTTCTAGTTAAATAGTTCTAATATTTTTTCTAACTTCCTTACACTGTAATAATTTAATGTTAATAAC